GCCTTACGGACTCCTGCCGCGGTCATGTACTTGAAGGCGACCATCCTCTTACATTAAAGACAATGAAGGCGCCGGGATGTTCTCTTCCCTGCCCTGTTTTCCGTTTTGTTTTCATATTTATTCTCCTTTTTACAGTCATACCGCCCAGTGTTCTCCACTTAGGTAAAGGGGTCAAATGGGTGGTTTACATGTGTACCTTGTCATTTGCAGGGCCCTTCCTCATTTCCAGTGTTATCGACCTGACAAAGCCCTTTTTTTAGTGAGTGTTTGGGTCACTAAATACTACTTTTATCCTGGATAGAGAATCAATATTGAAGCATTTGGAAGAATGTAAAGTTTATCAGTTTCATTTTTGAAGCACCTGATAAAAGTGTTTTTAATGCAGCGATGAACACGACAGCGTCTTTGTTTCTCTCTGTCGCTTCTATTCAGTCAGGAAATGAAACCAGCTGCAAACAAATAGACAGGAAAAGATGTCCTGAATAACAGGTTTGTTTTGTGTAACTGTTCGATAACAAGTTGAAGCTGTGCTTGGTGAACGGTACAGAACATAAATTGCTTTAGTTGAATTAGTTCCTTTTAAAAAGGGAACCTCATGAGGACTGAGGGGAGATCACGTGAAAGGAGGAAGTAACAAACGTGTTGTGGTGAAAAACATACTTACAAGAGAAGATTCAGGAAACACTTTCAAACTCAGTCTGCTCCGTCCAACTGTCGCTTTACTGTCACTTCACCCTCGACGACATGAACGGTAAGTTCATTTCTTTCACTGTATTTTGTGTTCAGTGCGGTTACAGCTGAATCTGTATTTTTATGCTTGTGGGGCTTTTTTTTGTTACATTATTCTCTTCTGATAATGACTGTTTTAAAGTAAAATACTAACTGCTTTCTAGTTCAACTTTTGACCAATAACAATATTTATTGGAATTGAGCTGATATTGAAATTCTCTTTCAGAGATGAGGATTGTAATATTAGGAAAAACAGGAGTTGGGAAAAGCAGCCTGGCGAACACCATATTAGGAGAGGACGTGTTCCAGATCGGCTTCAATGGCGTCTCTGCAACAAGTGAATGTCAATCAGAAACCAGACGTGTTGATGGAAGAGACGTCACCTTGATCGACACTCTTGGTGTATTTGACACGGGTCGATCTGAAGAGGAGCTGAAGCCTGCAATAGTGAAGTGCATCACAGAGTGCTCTCCTGGGCCTCATGCTTTTATCATAGTGTTTAAGGTTGAGGCATTCACAGATCAGGAGCAGGACGTGATCAATAAAATAAACCAATTCTTCTCTGAAGAAGCTTTCAAGTATGCAACAGTCCTCTTTACTCGTGGTGACCAGCTCAAGGAAGGACAAACCATTGAGGAATATTTCCACAACAATCATCTTGTGAGTGATCTGATAAAGAAGTGTGGAGGCCGCTGCCACGTCATTGATAACAAATACTGGAAGAACAACCAGCCGTATGAGTACAGGTGCAACCAGTTCCAAGTGAAGCAGCTGATGAAGACCATCGATCACATGATTGAGGAAAACAAGGGAAGCTGCTTCACCAACGAGATGCTACAAGCTGCGGAGGCACTGATACAAGAGGAGGAGGAAAAGATCAGACAGTCATCAGGAAACATGACAGAAAGAGAGATCAGATACGAGGCTAAAAGGAGAGTAAATAAAAGGCTTTTGATCCAACTCGCAGGTGTTACAACAGGTGCATTGTTAGGAGCTCTTTTTGGTGTCGTCGTGGTGGTTGGAGGACCAGCAGCTGGAATAGCAGCAGGCGTAGTGATCGGTGCAGGTGCTTTAGTAGGAGCGATCACAGGAGGTCTTAGAAGATACGACGCTACTGAGAAAGTAGACGCACAATGCAAGGCTCTAAAGAGGGCAGCAAACACTGTCTTTAATAAAGCAACCTCTGTCTTTAAAGATCATGAAAAAGCACACAACACATATGAATCAATACCTTTAATGTGCCCTGATTTTTAGGACGTGTCATTAAACATGTCACACCTCCTTTAAACAACATGGAATCTTTAACCATTGAGATTATGGTGTTCGTATGTAACAGGTTGAACTTCTTGCATGAGCTTTTTTCTATTTCCTGACTCTTTTCTAAAGCGTGTTGCAACAGCTGCAAGTGCTTCCTGACTAAATGAAAGTTCAATCTTGTCTTATTTTTAGTACAAAGTGCCTGATATGTTGTTTCTTATGTGTATTATCAACTGTGACCACAAATATAATGTTTTAACATCTTGCTTCAATAAGATCTTACAAAATGTTGTAATCAAACTAGCGTTAATAGTTGGATGTTGAATCATTGTTCTGTTTCCTGTTACAAAGTTAACCAGAAAATGTTTTTCTTCCATAATTTTGAGAGACAATAATTGTAGTTATCTGTGGATTCAAATGTGTCAGCAAGACAAATAAAAACAACAAATGATTTGAAGCCTGTGAAACATATTTTTCTTTTTCTTTGCATAGCAAATTACCCTCGACACCACACACACAGACACATACACACATGCACACGTACATGCACACACACACACACACACACACACACACACACACACACACACACACACACACAGAGGAAGTGAAGGTAAGACTTGTGTAAAAGGAGAGAAGAGAGACACACAGGACGTTGTTTGTGTGAAAAGTGAGTAAACATTATTTTTTCCCCTTAAAAACTCCACCTTGAAAGGAGAAGATTGTCTGCAGATGTAACTGTTGTTTCAACAAAAACCTTAATAATTATAAAAATGAAACAGTTACGTTTGATCTTAAAGAAAAAGCTGTAGTTTGTTAACATGGCTTTCACAGTCTGCTCCTCCTTTACGACTTATTTTCCAACTTCACATCCTTTCACACACAATGAATGTTGTTTTATTTTCTCACCCAGGGCAAAAGGACAGGTGCTTGAGCACCACTAGGGCAGTGTTTTTCAACGTTTTTTGCATCAAGGCACACGGCAAATCTCACGGCACACCAACAACCGGAAATGATATGAAAATCAATCCTAAACATAGTTTCAGCATGAGCATAATATACTCTAAGAAATCAGGGAAACGCGTGTTCTATTTGTTGTTTTATTAAACTTAACATCATCCTAATGCCACGATGGCACAGGCTTTATGCCCAGGTATCTCTTAAGCCTAGTTTATGCTTCTGCGTTTTCCCTTGCGTCGCTTTTCACACCTCCTTGCGTCCTTGCGTGTGTCGAGCCATTTTTCTGCGACGCAAGCCTCCCGCAGCGCACCAGGCTGCGATTGGTCCGCTAACTACGTCCTTTACGGAGTCTCACATTTCCGCTTTCAAAAAGCGAAAGCGGAAATGTTTACGAGAGAAACGGATCAGATTTAAGAACTTTTGTCGGAAGAAATACGCAAATATGAGCGCTTATACAAGCCGTCATTGGCGGGTTGTAGAAGCGGGTTGGATTCACCGAGGGAGATCGCCGCAGACGCCGGTTTGCCGGTCGAGAGGTGCACAAAGTTGTGGAGGAAAATACGAGACAAATGTGTCCGCGATGAGAAGCAGCAGTGGCGATGCACGGGGCAATAAAGTCTATGATAAATAAATAAACAAATAAATAGACGTGACTCTCTAGGTCGTCTTCAACAAAACACGTCACTCCGCCTGTTGTTCTGGAGGTGAATTACTCTGCAACACACGCAGAACCATGAATTGAAACGAGTGCGTCGACGCAACGACGCAGAAGCATGCGCCACCCTTAAATCTCACTTTTTAAAATTGTCGCCTCAGCAAATCTGCCTATTAATTACGCTGCGTAGCGCCACCCACAGGCAGAGGGGAGTATTGAGCCTTCATACCACCAACAGCGCGATGACACACACACACAAACACAAGTTGGCTCTTTTTTTGTCACCAATGACGTGACAGTATGTAAAAAATGATTTTTTTTCACGGCACACCTGACAGCCTCTCGCGGCAGCACACTGGTTGAAAAACACTGCACTAGGGGTCTATCTGTGCCTAGTAGGTATATATGTAGTCAAAGCCTTTATTCTTCTTTTCCTCTGTACCACAGATCTCTAAATCCAGGATAATGGTTCTGTCAAACAGCCTTTTGTCAAAGACACTTGTAATGTTAATGTTTATTCTGAACTAGATTTTAATTATTTTTATACCCAAAACAAATAATTTTAAATAGTAATTTATGATCTTCTTAAAATAAAGACCTATTCTCGCCTAAGGCCTGATTGTTTTCACTCTACTTACTTACTGGTACAGTTCAGTATAGAAGCTGCCAATAAAAACAGATTAAATTGCTTCCAAATTCTTTTGTATCCCTTTGAGACCAAACACTTGTTTTCAGTCTGTACTCTAGCCCTGGAGGAATGGCGGCACTGGCTGGAGGGTGCGGAACACCCATTCCTGTTATGGACGGACCATAAAAACCTGAGTATCTGAGGACAGCTGAGAGACTAAACCCTCGTCAGGCCAGGTGGGCCCTCTTTAATAGGTTTAACTTTTCCCTGTCGTATTGCCTAGGCTCAAAGAATGTGAAGCCAGACTCTTTGTCTCGGCTTTTTGACCCTGTTTCCCCACCCATCCTTCCCTCCTGCATTCTGCCCTTGTCTTGCCTAGTCGGCACCGTAACTTGGGAAGTTGAGTAAATGGTAGGGCAGGCCACCGTAGGCATCTCCGTCCCTAGTGGCTGTCCCCCTGGCAGGCTGTTTGTCCCCTCTTCTCTCAAGTCGCAGGTCATCTATTGGGCCCACTGCACTTGAGTCGCTTGCCACCCTGGGGTTTAGCGGACAATGTTTGTTATAAGACAGCGGTTTTGCTGGCCCGCGATGAAGAGGGGGAGTATGTGCACGCTGTATGGTTCCTCAGCTTCCTCCGCCCGGGCTCCTACGTCCCCAATCGGTCCCACACTGCCCCTGGTCCGACATCTCTCTGGACTTCGTCACAGGGCTTCCCCGGTCCGAAGGCAACACCACCATTCTCACAGTTGTGGACCAGTTCTCTAAGATGGTCTATTTCATTCCCTTGCCTAAACTGCCCTCTGCCAAGGAAACGTCAGGACCTTGTGGCCCCAGCTCCCTAACATGGACAGGACACGTGCTTGTAAGGCGGAGGGTATGACTGTGCGATGGCCCCTTGCAACGCAGAGGTCGTTCCAGCAAAAAAGTTAAAGTTTAAACCGGCTGGAGTCTCTCATACCAACGGTGGATGCGCAGAGGCCTGTGCCCAGAACCGGATGTGGTGAGCAGGGCTGTGAGGGCTTGGTGGTCCGTTCTGTTAGGGACCTGGGGCCACAACAACCTGGACTCAAAATCAGACATAGACGGGTGGTCAGACAGAGCAGCAGATTAATCCAAAACGGCGGGCAAAGATTCACGGGCAGATTGTAACAGGTCAAAACACGGGAAGACACAGTCGGGTAACTCGCTGGTAAACTCATGAAAACAATAGAGACAACAGATTAAATACGCAGGGGAAGGAGACACAGGTGGAAACAATAAGGTCGGGGCTTGCAATCACAGAGGGCAGCGGCACACAAGGAGGGAGGTGTCTGAAACGAGAAGCAGGGTAAATGACAGAAAACCCAATAGAAAACAAACCGTGACCTAACACCCCAGTCTGGGTGTTACACGTTCGTAATAATAATACATTTAATTTGTAATGCACTTTATATTTAAGCAAATTCCAAAGTGCTAAATGAAAAAACAGGTAAGTGCTAACAATAAAAACACATGGAGAGATTGAAAAAAAAAAAAAAGAAAAAGGGGACGAAACCCAGGAAAAGCTCTCCTGGGTTTTTAGGCCACGTTTAAAAGCATCCACAGTCTGTGGTGTCCTCAGGCGGTCAGGGAAAGAATTCGACAGACTGGGAGAAGTTGAGCAGAAAACTGCTGAGCAGAAAGCCCGATCTCCTATTGTAATGTGAATGAACGGCCATACACATACATATGCCATCGCTCACACGTTCAGACACAGGCCAGGGCCTTTCTCTCCCCCACGGAGTACTTCTGTTCAGCTGAATTAAGAGCTCGGGAGGCAAAAGCAATAAGTCGCTGTGCTGTTGTGAAGCTGAGACAGCACAGCCCCCACTGCGTAGTTGGAGGCATCACAGGTGAGGTGAGTCTCGGGCTTGGTGGGTAGAAGTGGGCGAGTACTGGTGGTACGATGAGCTGGGCCTTCAGCTGCATGCAACCACATCGTCACAGGCGATCAGGTTTACTGAAACATTTCGTACTCATTTTGTTGCAAATAAAGAGTGTGTGGATAGAACAGGTGCAGGGATTGCAAAATGCATCCAGGAAGTGATGTCAGGAATCAGGAAACATTTATTGCCAAAATATGTCATACATACAAGGAATTTGACTTGGCGGTTGGTGCGTGACAGTAGACAGTGTAACAATAGACAACAAGACAGCAGTGCACAAGTAATAAAGTAAAATACAATGAAATGCTAATGCTATGGGTTAGTAGAATAAGGCTATGGGTTGGTATAAAATAAGAGAATAAAGTTTAAGTTAAAAATTAAAAATATTTAAAAATAAAGTGCACTAGCGAACAAGTGACAAAGTGACAAGTGAAAAAAGACAGTAAAGTGACGTGTGCAGCAAAAAGAGAAAGTTACCGG